TTTTTTTTTTTTTTTTTTTTTGTATGACTGTGATTGAAAGGTTCATCTAGCAAAAGGCAGCGTGTGATCATGCCAAAGAGACCTCTGTTTACCTACAATAAGGATGTTGCGACTCGCCATATATCATTTTCTGGGAAAAGAAGAAAAGCACTCTTTAAATTTATTTTAGTGTAGAGTAATCTGACCATTTTAATGGTACACTGTGCTGTCGCTATTTCGAGGTTCAAAGAAAGAAAAAAAGATGGAATCTTTACACAAGTATCCTTGAAATCGACGCTGCTTTTTTGAGGTTTGCAGAACAAAAGTAAAGTAAATATCTTAAATTTTTGTTTTATAACTGTTTTATAACTTTTTTAGCCTAAGCAGTACAAAATTGGTAGCAGAAACTCTGCGAACTGTGAGTGAAACTAATACGCATTCTACTTGGATAGTTAACAACACTCTTGGCACTACCGGAAGCTTAGCTGAAATAAGGTGTAATGCCTAGATATAAGGGGGGGATTCGCAAGAAGACCTGTTGAGGCGTGTTGAGTTTTACTTTTTTGTTTTAGTTTCTGATACACTGCTTCTGTCATTTAAACTAACGCTAATTATTAAGGAGAAGTCTTTCAGGAATATACGCAAAATACAAAATTAACGCTTTCTGGTTTGGGATAGGCTAGGAAAAAACATTCCTCGGTACACTCTGAATTGTACTTTTCAGATTAAATATCTTCTATTATCTGAGTAGAATTGAATACAAATTCAGTTTTGTGTTCTTTACATAGTTGGGCAGGTTTTTATTTACTGCGTTTGTGACAGCTGTATTGAAGAATCACGGTGAGATTTCTCCGTGAAGTGATAGTGTGACTCACCGCTCCAAGTCATTGGTTCATTTTTTATCGCGTTGTGTTTCCATTTCAATTGACTGGATGTTATCGGAGGAACTTTCAGGTAATTAAAAGGTTTTTGTAGGTATTTTCCTGGCAACGCGAATAAGATGAGGTTGTACGACATACCGTTGAAAGTCGTAAGTTACTTCTCGTATGTTTCCTGCTCTTTTGATTCCCTCAGGGCTGTAAATCAATTTGTTACTGTTATTGCTTTTTTCAAATGTCCAATTATAAAGACAGCAGTTTAATGAGGATTTTGTAATTCTTCTTGCAACTTTCAGAGGTGCTTATGAGTTGTTTCCATTTATATTGCTGGAAAGTTCTACTTTTTGCTAGGCATTTTTATGTTGGAATAAAAGATTCTCTTCTACAGAAAGGAGCTTTACAAACATTTTCTCAGGGCTATTTATTTGTCACCATTTTACGTCAATTCCTTACACTTTAAGGTCTTTTTAATTAACAATTCGGCGTGTCTTTTTTCACTGCGCTTTCACTGCTAGATGGTTTTCTTTTTTAGATGTTCACGACTTAATTGTCATGAAAATGAAGTAAAGCGATGAAGTAAGTGTTCGTAAGAAGATGTGAATATGTCAAATGAGTTCTTAGTTTGAGTTTTAGTTATTGTATATATGTCCTAGTAGAAGGATTCCTTAATAAGTTAAATAAAATAGAGGTTTTCTCATGAGTTTTCCTTCTGGGAAATTGTGCAGGTGGCATAATTCAAAATGAGATCTCTGTTTGTTTCTGCTGTTTTTCAATTCTACTCGAATGATAGAAAAATGTATTTAAGGTTTTATTCCTCTCGTCTTTCAAGTCTTTCTTTCACTGCGGTTTGCAGGTATATTGATTTACAGATAAAAATTTTAACTTTTTTCTGGGGTTTTTTTATTCAGTTTTTGAGTTGATTAGGAGCGAGTAGTTGCCAACATGTTAAAGCTTAATTAAGTGGTCTCAATTAATATCATATAGTAGATCTGTATACTATACGTTTTTTTGTTTTTTCTTCTCAAAGATGTTTCAAATTTTCTGTCAGTTACCTCTCACACTAAACTGATAAGTTACTAATATTGTTAAAATTCTGGTTTTTTTTCAGCGGCACAGAGCCTTGTACTGCTTTTACGCCTTCTGTTTTTTCTACCATCCAATCAATACTTTGTTACACTTGGACGAGGTTCGAGCCAAAGCTATAGAGGTAGCTCGGAAGAGTATAGATGTATGTTCCATTCCTTTTAAAACAAAAAAGCTACAGACTTGTTTGTCGAAGTTGTTAGCTTTGAAGAATTCTGAGTAAACTAGTTCCTTTTAGCTTTTGAGTTTAAGTGTTTTTTTATTCTTCAGTGGTCTTCTTTTCAGAAATATGGTGTTGCTGAAAAGGTATCCTGAAGAACAATACTGTCTAACTTTCTTCGTTTTCTTCAATTCTGATTTCTGTAAATGTTACGGGACGATTTTACTCTGAAGCATTTCAATGCTCGTAGATAATGTAGGCGTCTCTTATAACTATGCTAGGAATTATTTGATTATCTAGTTTGCAAATATTAATCGTGTGGGATTTTTAAGGGAAGGTTTTTTGCAGAAGCTGAACAGGAATTTCAGCTTGAAAAGTCTAGTGGGATTTCTACTGGTTCTGTGCGAACTGCTCGTTTTTTATTTATTTTTAAGAAATAACAGTTTTGCTCCTATTTTGCTTACTGTATTTCTACTTGTTAAGAAAGTGTTGAGCGACGAACTGTGTGTTGACGTGTAAAATACAGTCGAGAAATGTAAACGATTTTTTTTAAATTATGAAATACAAGTTTGTCTAGCCTTTGCTATTGATTTTTTGCTAGCTTATTACCTTTTATTGGAAGTTTTTTTGGATGTTTATGTCCCAAAGGTCCAAAATCGGATTAACATTCTTGTCACTCTGAGAACTTTTAAGGTGGGACATGTACTGAAGATAGGCTACGTTGGAGTTTTAATCATCAGACTTTGACTGTAGTTTAAAGGAGATAAACAGTTTTTCGCTTATATTTTAAAAACAACCTCTACAGTATTTTATGACTGCTTTTGGCACTAGCAGAAGCGGTAGAGCCAAGTGGAAGTTTTCTGTTTGAAGTTTTAGCAGTTGTGGTGGTTCATTATGGAATTTACAGGTGCAGTTGTTGAGATTTCTGATACAAATTGCCTTCGTCGAAAATGTGCTTGATGGTTTTGATTTACTCGTTATAATAGAGCTACTCTGATTTTTCATGTACGTTTTATATCGATTCCTCACTTGATTTTGCTGTTCTTATTTACTTAAGTTTTGTTACCCTTTACAGATAATTTTTATTGCATTTTCGTCATTAAACAAGTCTGGGACAGATCAGAAAAGGTAAGCTAATTGTGTGCGAAATAATTCTCATTGTTTATTTCAAAAAAGCCAATAATTCGATTTTGTGGACAGCGGTCTTCTTAATGCAATCTTTGACAAAACAGTACTGTTTTGGGGAATTTTCGGGCCTTTATCGCATTTGGGTCTTGATATAAATGTGGAGAACTCATTGATTTTTTTCGAAGCTTTAGATAGAATTTTGCCGCTTAACACTACATCTCGACTTTTATTGGAACCAGATTTGCTGATAACAGGTACTTTATGGAATTAGCGAACCATTTTTCTCTTATATTTCCCATTAATCTAAATGAAGGAATTTATGTTTTGTCAGCGCTATTACAGATTAATTTCGGATTTGGGTACCAGGTATTATGAAGTTGTTTTTTGCTTGTACACCCACAGAAGAAATCGAGCAGTTGCATTTTTAGACTGCTTGGAGAAACTTTTTACTGCTTTAATGGACTGAAACAATCTGAATAAGATTCACAACATCCAGTGGTCATCGTTCTGAAGAGGCACAGGGATGTGGTGTGTAAGGATAATATTAGAATGTGATTTGGTTGTTGGAAAAGTGTATTTTTTAAGCCGTAAAAATCCAGGCATCCTCTTACACAGACGTTGCAGTAGTTAAGTTTTTTTTCTTTTTTTTTGCTGCACTTCGAAGCGACGGAAGATCAGTATTACATCACAAAGCAGAAGAATAATTGCTTTCCAATGGTGCATAGCAAGACATATATACAAAGTTTATGCAACAGAAAACGGTTGAACGATGAAGGATGGCTGTAATGCTTACAGTTCGCGTTTACTTCGGGGGTGGAAAAAAATGGATTTGCCATTAATGAAAACGCGAACAAATAGTATTTTGAATTAAACATAAAGTTTTTTAATTACAAACTTTGATTACTTTTGTTTTTCTCTTTTATTTTTTATTCTTCCCTCCCACACTGCCTATAGAAGAAAATTTTCTTTGCATTTTTCTTCACTAATAAGCCTTACGGTTAGGGAGGTGGAGAACTGTCAGTGCAAGCACAGGTGCTGCTGTCGCTCAGATCAAGCATTTCAAGAACAACTGGATCATTTTCGCCTCTGAGCAATCCTTTGGCATGGCAAAATTTTACAAGTTTTGCAAATCCCTTCCTCATCAATAGTAACAAGTATTTGATTGGAGTGGGTATGGACGAACGAAGCCAGAAATGAGTCATAGAAGAAGGGAAGACAGAGGGCAAGAAGAACTTGATGGAGGAGAGATGATCTGGATCCTCAAGAGTTCTTGCTTGTTGTGGCAAGAATATTTTCAAAAATGACGAAACATAGGGAAAAATTAACGAGTTTCAAATGAATATAGCCACTCATAATGTATTTTGAGCGGATTGATCATTAATATTTAATATTTCTTTGGCGATCGCACCCTGTCCGCATCGTATTAATGCATCAATCAACGGCCCCATCCAGTGATGCTTGGTCTTTAGAATTTCAATTAACTTGTCGACCTGCTCAGCTTGATGTTCCTGAAAGTTACACTTTCAGATCGCCATCCTTAACATCATCTGCATAATATGTATCTAAACCGATACACACAATAAATGCTTCCAGTATAGTGCAATCATTTGATTAGTCAGTTTAGATGGTTGTTTAGTTATGAAGGGAAACGGGCAAGAAAAATAGCCGTAATTAAGTTTCTTCAAAAAAAAATTTCTACAAAGAACGAGAAGACAATGGTCAGTAGTATGTATTATTCAGTGGTCAAAAAATTTGAAAAAAATTTGATACTTGCGTTGAATTGAAGGCTAGAAAGATGGTGGAAAAATGCTGACACAATTTCACTTTACGGGTACTATTAATACTGTTAAAACTTTCAATGCTGTTTTGGTACCTGTAAGTTGGTAAAAAGTAGAAAGAAGAAGGTGTAAAAAAGTCATGTGGTGTTTCATTATAATTGAGAAACCACGTTTAAAACAGAATCTAAATTGAAGTACCCTTGAATAAACAGCACCCATTTCTTGACTTTGAAGTACACGTCGTGCAACAAGGATTGGTACCAGATCTTTCAAATTCAGATCAGCCAAACGTACCCGTAAACAATCAAGTCTGTCATATTGTTCTTCATTTGTTGTCCGTGTTGACGGTGATTGAGACTGTGTTGCCATCACTCTCTAAAAAACAACCATCAAGTACCTCAAAATTGCAAACACTGAAAACAGTGACAACAATAGCAATAGCAACAACAACGTATACGGTTATCTGCTATTGTCAGCCAATAATCACGCAAAATATGCATATAATATCCATACATACATACATTAATAGATGGTGGCAGCGCCGTTACATTAACCGAGGATCGCAAAACCAAAAAAAAAAACGGCAGACTTCATGCGTTATCTTCAAAAAACAGTGGTTGACAGAATAACAACGGTTGCAGTTTTATCACCTCATCAAACACATCTGATAATCCATCATTGTAATTATTATACGATGTATTATTTCTAACAAGCTGT